AGCTTTAGAACCCCCATGACACCAACTTAAATTTACAGATATTGATAGAAAGGTCTCAGCCTCACCTTTCCTGCTAAATAATGAGTATTATTCTTCTGAGAATCAATACACTGGAAGCTTTCTAGATAGTAATTCTCCATTTCTTGAATTGCTCATAATGTGGAGATATCTATATATATATATCTCCAGACTTCAAAAATCCATTTTAAAGAAACACCGTTCCTTAAATGCAGAGCATTACAAAGGCTTTATGTGTGCAGCCCACTACAAGAAAAATGATTAATTTGCACACGGGTAGACATGTAACAGCAACCTTTGCAATATAACATTCCCAGGACCAGAATTAATCTCCATGTATTTCTGCATTATTATTGCTTGAACTAGCCCATATTTTGCTTAGGTCTTAAAACAGAAAACTTAATAATGAAAAGTAAATACACAAGCCTCAGCTGTTTCAGAAGATACTGTAACATTTTCCCATAGGAAAACACAAGGGTTTGGTGTTTTTTAAGTCTATGGTCTATTTCTCCTGACCACGTAAGGTTATAGAATAAAACATATTCATTCAATGAAGCCAAGACTATGTACCATTTCCATAAACCTTAACTCATTAATCTTCATCTCAAGTGTTCTCCTCATTACCTTATCCCACTCAGATCTTACCCACTTTTAGTTTGTGTTTCCTCCTTCCTGTCACGCTTTTGTTTCAGGTTTCCAGCTCAATAAAGTTAACTTGTAATAGTTATCTACACAGACATTGCTTTAGAGGAGGGAAATGTGAGGGCCTTGACCAGGAATGATGCTCTTTTATATAATTGCTTTTTTCCCAAGTCTGGTGCTATTTGTAGTGTAATGGTAATGGCCAGTCTTCGCGAGCGAAGATTTGGGAAAGGTAAAAACATTAATCGCCATAAAAGAAGTGAGAAAAAAGACACGATTTTGATCAATACTAATTCTGATTAAGTTCCATTACAGCACTTGATATTTTCAGCAAGTCTGGAAATACACTCACAGAAACTCAGGATTGCTAAGAGTCTTTAACAGCATAACAGGGCACTGCTGACTTGGGTGGGGACTATTCTATCTACTTTTTTATTGGCCTTATACGGCTATAATAAGGTAATGAAATGCATTAACTTTATTCTGTAATTAATCTTATTACCAAAGCTTCAGTAGTGCGGTTTTATTGCTTATTTATTTTAGGCTTTTGCTTCTCTTCTTTTTAACTTGGCAGAAGGAAAGTTGGTTTTATCAAAATGTTTATAGATTGGGAAAAAACCCAAACAACCAATAAAAAAACCCAAATGTTTAAGATCATTGTATGTAAAATTAGGGTCGACAGGATGCCCTCAAAGTACGCCCAGGGAGCTGGTGGAGGCAAAGAGCAGTACTCATTTATACTCTCATATGGACATATCAGGGACAGTTGTATAGAGCAAATTTTTTCAAGCTGCAGAAAATAAGGTTCATGAAAACATGCATTCACTAATCACTACATGTATAAATGAGCAGGGTTGTTATTAATGGTTCCTTCTCCTCTAGAGGCCCATAATGTAGCATTAAAATATGAATGGGACAGATGTAGACACCTAATCTTGATGGGTCTGGGATCCAGAACTGATCTTCTATTCATTGCACCTATTTCTTTTTATCACTGCATGGTTTATAAAAAACAAAGATTGGTTAATTAAAAAAAAAAAAATAGCGAGAGATGCAAAGCAGCAAGAGTTTTCAAGCTAAATTTCCTAGTTCTAAAGTGATTTTGTGAGACAGTCCGGCTCCTTCTCTTTATCTCTGAAGACTCATTTCCTTCTTTCTCACATAAGATAAAAATCTTTTGGAAATACTGAATTGGGAAGACTCTGTGTAATTCTTATACAGCACTGAGCGCTGCTGTTTGAGGGCTTTCCAGGAATATATTAAGTGATGTGACTGACCTCTATCATTTGCATTTGATTTGTTTTTTTCCCTCATCTTCTTCTCCAGGGTGAGGAGTGTGTTCAGTGAAGAGTTTTGTTTGTTTTTTTTTTCCTGCTGTACATAGGTACATTGCAGTGTGCTTTTCTTAGAGACAAAAGGTCAAAGACGTGCATTTTGCACTACAACAAAGGTGGTAAATTTTGTGAGAGCCCTTCATCCTTGCAGAAATTCATTAACAATTTAGGTGTCTGATCCCCAAGAAATGTCTGCTATGTGTGTAGATGAGCAGTACCCTTCCTATGGGAAGTCCTAGCCCACAGGGGAGAAAGCATGTTCCTGATCTCTATCCCAGAGGTCTCTCTAGTCACCATGGGCTCAGGTCATTGAGCATCATCAAAGTAAAAGCTGCCACTTTTGCTTCTTATCCTCAGCTCAGAATTTGTGCCCACTGCTGCTGATGCAATTAGAAGATAAATCCTGAATGGCTGTCACAGGATCAGAACTAAGAAGTTGCTTGATTACAAAAAAAAGAGAAAAAAGAAAAAACTAATGTGAGATCTAAATTAAAACAAAATTATTATGTGTACCAAGCAAAGGGTTAGATAAATGTGGAAGAAGGGGAGGTTTATTTTATGAACTCTGATTATCTCATGGGAAAAAAGCTTCCATTTGTACATAGATCAGAACAACTTGAGTTGTAAGGCACACGTTTAATCAAAAAGCTCATCTGATGAAATGCTGTAGGATTTGCTTGTATATCCAAGGAGTTCCCTAGAGATTTAAGGGATGTAACTGAATACAATTAGAAGATCAGCTGTAAACATCATTTGTCACACAATTTGTTTGCTGTGCTTTGTAAGAGAAGTTCAGTTAACAATAAGTGAATTTGTGGTGGTTTAGAAGATAGTAAAGTATTGAACTGTATTGCAAGAAAAGGATTACCATAGCAGCCTACTAGAGATGCAACTGTTCAACTATCTGGGATCTGATGGTCTGTAGAAAGAGAACAGAGAAACTATTAAGCCGAGGTTCACATCCAAGAATGGAATCATTTCTGAACAACCTTTCTGGGCCTACTTCGTTGCTGAATTAAACCTCATGTAATGTCATTGAAGTCAATGGGGTTATACAGGGCATAAGTCAGTGGAGAAAATTAGCCCTCTGTCTTGAAGCCAAGAAATGAAAGGGAATAGTGATCCAATAAAACAGACATGAAATGCTGATATTAGCTGAATGCCACTGTTCTTGGTACAGTGAGTTCTTTGTGTCCAGTAGTGAATATTTCATCCTTCCCAGGTGTAAAATCTTCCCAGCAGCACTATAAGGCAGATTTATAATAAATGACAAAATTAATGGTTTAGTTCTGTTGTAATGCAGCTTCTGGGCTCCCAAATGGAACTTAAGCAGTTAGCAGACAATATCTGTGCTGGCTACAATGTGATCTCCAAATCAAGTCTTGATCTCTTCAGAAAAGCCTTGAGGCTGACCTTTTTTTTTCCCTTTAGCCATCTCTCACCCATACGTGTGTTAGAAGCTAGCATTTGTGGGTATGGGAAGCTTTCTATATAGAAAACTGACAGAATTTCCAGGAATATCTGTGTAAGACCTGGAGTACACTAGGCACAGTCACTGCCTCAGGTATGAATGTACTAGGAAATATAATGGATTTGTTTGCATTTAATTTGTATAATATTAAAGGTTCTAAGAACCCACAGTATTGCAGTGATTGTACATGTGCCTTGGATTAATGAAAAAAAAAAAATCCATTTTCACTAACCAGCATTCATAACGGTTTCTCAGATTTCACTTTTTCTACTCTCCAACCCACTGATTACTCAAATTGAAATTAGAGCATCATCTCCCTCAGCCAGAGATTATGGGGTTTGTACCATGCACAAAGAGAGTTCTGTCCTGGTTGGAGCATCTAGGTATTTTTATTATCTGTATAAAGAACGAATTCCCAAAGTGTACTGATGGGCTTGCAGCTCATGAAAATATCTCTGTGAGATGACCTGTGCAGAATAATAGATTTCGAGAGCATGGCTCACTTTTCACTACAAAGAGACCAAACAACTTGAATTCTTTTGACATCTTACTGTGCAAATTTCTGCAATGAGCTAAAGGGTGAAAAATTATTTATTATTATTTAGTAGAGAAAACTCTCCAGATCTAGATGTTAAGGAAGTTGTGTAAAGCATGGAACACATGGCTCGCGTTGCTGCTCCAGTATTTGTTCTGTTACTTCTGGTGTGACTCTTTGGCAATGACAGAACTTGTTCGAGGGACTAGCAGAGGACTTATATGATACCTGGCCTGTTGGATGTGTGATTTTGGCCATTTATTCTTTTTGTATTATTTTTTTCAGGTGACACTTCAATAACTGCTTGAGATTTTCATTTTCTTTAAATCCAATTGCTTCTGCTTACAGTTCAATTCTGGGCATGCTCTTCAGAGAAGATTGAAAGGAACAAGATACAAATTTTGCAGCTGTCGTGTGCGATGCTGATGTAAACACATCCAGACCTATCCAAAGTGGAAGATATGTCTTGAGGCTTGGGGACTATTGCAGATATAGGAACTAGTCCCATTAATCCACAGCCATAATTTCAAGTGATAAAATATCACTATAAAGCTGGTTTACAAGTGCACTGAATTTGTCCTTTGTTTAGTTGGCAAGGTTCTGACTTTAAAAAAAGTTCTGCTAGAGAGCCAGGTTTTGTCAGATAACAAATCTGATTTTGACAGAAATCTTTACATTATCAGTGGCTAAAAGCCCATTGATCCAACCACTCATTTGCTTTTCTAGTTTTCAATAATTAAAAAGAAGTTTATTAGTTATTGGAAAAATTTTGGTCAATTTTTGGAAGTTTTATTGAAGGATGTGATATTCAAGAAAGATGCAAAATTCTCCTGACTTGTTCCAATTAAAATTACTAAACTGTTGTAGAGAATTATGTTTATACCTCATCAAAGACAGTCTGTTGAATTTTGTTTCTGTTTCTGTTGTTGCTTTTCTAAAGCCATCTCTTGTTTTTCTGTTGTATTTGTCTGACATCTAATGCTATTACATTCTGTTTCAGCTGGCAGGCTTCATCTATGCCTGTTATGTTGTGAAGTGTATTACTGAAGAAGAGGACAGCTGTAAGTACTAAAGCTTTATTGCATACAAAATGAATACTTTTTTTATATTTAAATCACCCCTCCACTATGCTGGTTCCTGCTGACTTCAAACTAAATGCCTTATTACACCGTAGCCAGAACATGTTTTCTGTCCATCTTCCTTGGTCTAAAATTTGGAAATGTCTGAAGGACAAAGGAGTCAAGAAATGCTGTTTAAAAATTTAATAAACATACTCCTTCCTTTTGAAAAGATCATTGCAATTCTTTATCTCCCAGTTTAGCTTAAGACATAAAAAAAAAAAAAGAACAAAAAAATACCAGTTGGTGAATATAAGTTTGGGGTTTTTTCCTTACTTCAGATTGTTATTAACTATTTTCAGAGTAATTGCTTACCACTGAGGTTATAGGTCTCCTGTGTTGACATGTGCGTTGGCCCGTAAAAACACTTCTGGCAAAAAAATAGCTTTAGATCACTGCAGAACCTTCACTTATGAGAGGTGAAACAGTGGAGTTCCTCTTCGTTCTTACTGCTCTCAGGGTACAATTAAGAGGAGTGAAATGATTTCATAGAGATATATGTTCATGTTTCTTCTGCTTATTTATATCAGTAGAAGCCTGTTGAGCAGAATTTGCTCTTATTGCATGCTATAGAGTCAAGGCATTTCATTTTTTCTCTCTACTCTAACCTTGATTTTTTTTTAAATGGGCCACTGCAGCATTTCAGTATATCTTGGGATTCATACTGAAGCGCTTTAGAAACAAGTATCAGAACTGCGTGTAACTTTGATAAAATATACATGAATCCTAGAGAGAGCTCTGCAACAGGAAGCTAAAGGGGTTTTATTTGATTGAGAGCACTGCAAGGGCTGGCGGGGGTTCCTTTGTGTGTTCTCCTGCGTGGAAAATAGCTGCAACCCTATAATCTATTGGCAATACAGTGTCGCTGTGAATCATCAAGGGGAGATTTAGTGCTGAAATCAAACCACCACACTTTGGAGGTCGTTCTGACTATGCTCATTTCAGTTGTTTTTGTGTTTCTGTGGATGTGAGGAATGTATAAAGAGTAAAAAGGGTTTGGGACAGATATGTGGATCAGGGGTATGTCACAAATAGACTTGTCTGTTTAGGGAAGGACTCTGTCATATGTGCTTTCTCTTGCTTTCCCATTAAGTGCATTCACTATCCACGGGGCTGGAGGAGAGCTATTCCTTGCCGCCCGAATTGAAATCCCATTTGATACTATCCTGTCCTCTCTTCTAAGGGCTTAAATCTTTTTTCCACTCTTCTGTGATGCTTTAGGGCATGATATAAGTAAAAACCAAGGAAGGAGCTTGAGTCTTGGCTCACCAAACAAGTGCAGAAGTCAGAGCACATTTGAGAGGTTTCTCCCACGGTCTGTAAAGCAGCATTCCTGGCAGCAAAGTGCCGCAGCCAATATGGTATTGTTTTCTTCTCACTGTGGCAGGAGCTCCCTGTTGTTCCAGATCCACAGATTGTCATGCTTCTTTGAACCTTTTCTTGCCATCACCTTGACTATTTTGAGGCTTTTATTACTCTGTTAGTAAACCTCAGCTAGGTCTCCTTGTCCAGTCAAAGAGCCGTCTTACCCACCTGTGAGCATCTCTCTGAGGTACCAGGGTGAACCCCCAACCAGCACAATAAAGCCAGAACAAGCTCAGGCACTGCAGCTTTCCCCCTGGTGAGGCTTGGAAGCTTGGCTGGCAAAAAAGAGAAAAAGGGAACTTCCGTGACTGAGTTGTGCCAACACTATAATAATGCTCAGATTGGATTTGGCCCCTCAAGGTATCATAAAATTAAAGCCTTAGTTTCTACTGAGAGGTATCATGTTGCAGAGACTAAGAACTATTCTAGTTCTCTCTCTGCTCAGACAAGTGTTCGCTGTGACAGCCAGGGCCTGCAGTCCATACAAACACTCTCCACTCAGGTTTAATTTAAAATTCTTTTATTTCCTTCGATACATTTTCTCTCCTTTTCTATCCCTTCCTTTCCATTCCTTTTGGCAACACATCCATCTATCATGCTCTTCTTAGAAGATTTTATCCCTTGTGGATGTCATGTCATTCAATATTTTTACTCCAGAGGAAGATGCCTAAGCGTGACTTTCTCCATACATTCGCAGATGGGGTCATCTCATGCAGACCAAGGGAGTGCTAAGGAGAAAAGCTTTCAGGATAAGTGGAATATGTCCCAGAGCTATTTATTGAGCTTCCTGCATAGGCAATTCTTTGATCTGAGATTACTTCAGATCCCCTAGCTGTGTTTCTCTTTCCATAGTCTCTTCTTCCACTTTTCCAGTTCCTCATCCCTGCCTGTTGCTGGGGAGCAAGAGGGATGAAGGAGCCCCCTTGCCCACAGTGTACTCCCTCCTCCAAACTTGCTGAGTATCCAGCACAGGAGAAAAAAGCACTGTTACCCACCAGCCCCTGCCTAGCATCCATACCTGGTAAGGGGTTAGGCTGGGCTTGTGCTTCCATTCAGTTTGGCAGTTGGTGTTCCCTCTTTGTCCTGTGTCAGCTGTGAAAGATCCTCTGGTAACAACCAGTCACCAGAAAGAAACTCTGCCACACCATTCCATGCTTTCCCAGCACTGAAGTTGTTTGTGAAGGACAACAGAGGAACACTGCCATCTTCTTACCCACCTCTATATTCACAGACATCACAGGAAAAATCTACATCTCTGTTTTTCAGAACCACTCATGTGTGTAAAAATGTGATGCCTCATTGGCAACCACAGAGAACCTCAAGGATAACCATATTGGATCATACTAAAGTGTCACTAAGCCACAAGTGCTTTCTGATGAGACAGAGACAATAGAAAAATCCTTTTGCTTCTCACGATGTACCCAGTAAATGCCCATACACTCAATTTCATTTCTTCTGCTTTGGTAATGGGCCATGGGAACAACAGCAGTCCAAAAGAGGAGCAAAAGACGGAGAAACATTGAACTTGGCAGGTGTAAGCAGCAAGGCATAAGACTAGAGAAAAAGCCATGTAAAAGTCAAACGTGGGCACGTTCCAGATTTTAACCAGAGGAAGATATCGACACTGCTCTGGAGTATAGAAGGTGTCTCATCTTCTGTTGGCACAGAGCCTCAACTGTGGAAACGGAGTCAAGTTGCTCTTAAGTTGCTTCAGCTGAATTAGCTTTGCTCTCAAAATAATTGGAACAAGCTGAAAGAATTATTATTTCTCCATTCTTTATGCAGATTTTATTGAGAGAACAAATGAGCGAGGGTAGAATTAAGCAAACATTTCACTAAGATTAACCTGCTCTAACCTCACCAAAGGATTAGGAATGGAACAATACAGTGATCAAACCAGGGTCAGAACTAGGGCTGAAACAGCAAGTCTAGAGGTTTTAATTACTCACACACCAAATAAATCCAGCCTCAGTTCCCCCAAATCAAAGCTCAAGTCTGTGCTATCTTTCAGGAGAACTATCTGCTTTGGGTTAATTCTGCACCAAGGACTAAAGATGAAACTGCTTTTCCTCCTGGTACAGTCCCAGAAGTGCTACAACATTGGGTCCACCAGAGTCGAACAGCAGCACTCATCTCCAAGGGGAAGACAAGCCATGGATTTTCCATGGCTACTTCTCTCAGAGAAGGTTTGTCACTCCCAAAGGTCCCTTCTGCATCATTTTCCCTGTGGCTGTGTAGGGAGGAGGAACTCTGAGGCTTGGAGTGCCTCAGGTCTTTATCTGGGAAAAACGAGGGAAGACAGGTGCCCAGCAGGACTGCTGCCAATTCCATATTTTCCCCTTCACCATTGTTACTGGTATGCCTAGGCCGTGGCCAGTCTTACCTCATTAGCATTATTAGTTGCAGCAATTAAAAATGAAACATAAAAATGTCAGGAACAATGATTACTTGGAGGCACTCAATGGCTGTAAACTTATTGGAGCTCTTCATTTGTCTTCCAAAATCATATTAGGCCTGCATTTTTCAAAGGCTGCACATTATTTTTAATAACATCAAAATGTTCCTTTAATGTGCATTTCCTCACTAGCAATTTAGTTCCCTGCTATAAGTTGCTACTGCCTTACTAAAAGAAAATCCAATGTATTTTTGAAAACTTTATTAACTATACAGACATTTGGTGGAAAACACTGCAATGTAAGCAATAAAACAGCATTCTCCCAGGGCTTTTTGTTTGTAAGAAATTAAGAAAGAAACCTAGGTTACCGAAGTGGGAATTCTGCACTTGCCTTGCAGGTTCTGTTGAGGGAAAGGGGACTGGATTGTCTACTAGAGGGACAGCTTTGAATGGAAAGGAACCCCAGCCAAGAGAATATCACCAATTCAGTCTGTTTCCCACAGTGAAATCCTAATTCAGAAGGCTCCCTTGCCAACCCAGAGAGGCAGCAGAAATAGCATTTACCGACTATAACACAATGGCAAGGCAATCAGAGAACAAATATGGCCCTTCTGACTGTTCCCCAAGTACCAGGAGGTACAACCTTTGCACTATCTCATGCTAGCAGGGATCCAACTTGCACATACATTATCTTCTTTTCTCCTGGCATTGTTTCCTGTTAAATTGCAAAGCCAAAGAAATCGCAACTGGATTAAGCAGATTTTTGCTGCATAGTCCCTTGAGCCCAGCCTTTTGGGATGCCTGGTACAGAAGTAAAGGTCTAGATAACCTGTGAAATTATTTCACTCCTCCCCCCTCCCTCATAAAAACTTGAATACAAGATCCCACCTGAATTCCTGAAAATGTTGAGGATGACTGTAATACCCTAATAGGAAATATCTAATGGTGAGCAATACAGTATTATGTGCAGTTATGTGCCAATAAACTCGGTGCCAAACAATAATTCACTCTGGGATCCTAGGCCTGACCTGGGAAGTATGAAGGTGATGACAGAGACTTTTTCAAAAAGACAATATTAAATACATTAGGTGTGAGAGATGTGAAATTTTGTCAAACATTTTCTTTTTATCTCTGTTACAGTCAGTCTTTCCCCTTTGAGCAGGCTATTTAACCTCTCTATACTTCCGTTTCCCATATTTAAAATGAGAAATAATGACAGGGACAAACTCACAGGCGTGTTGCTTCATAACTTTGAGCTTCTGGGATGAAAGGCACCATTGAAGTGCAGAATATGCTCAGGTATCACTTTATCTCTGTGCCAAATGCTTTTCACAATCTACTTAGTGAGACATTACAGAGAACTAATACCTCAGCTTCCATCCCAGCTTAAAAATCTCTAAAACAAAGACAAAGAGAAACTGGTAGCAAACAGTCAATTATTAATTCTGCTTCTTTGTTTCCCATCACATTTTCTGGTGAATATAGCTGTAAATCCTGACAATACAACTACAGGAGAAAGACAGGAAAGAAGCTGAAACTAAGGCTGGGAGAGATGGCTGAAGATGACTGCAAGCATCTTTCTGCAGTCAAGGCTGAACTTGAATGTATCTCTGGAAGTTGTCCTGGACAGCCTGACAGGTCTCTTTCCCATCCATTTGAGAGCTGACACCACAGTGGCAGTGTGAGTTGCAGCCCTACAAGTGCAGCATTATATTACACTTGTGTAACACAACACAAGATAGGAGGTACCTGGTCTATCCAGCCACATATTTGATATCCAGTAATGATGAACTTCTGATGCTTATTTCCCTATATATTTGCTATATAGGCACAGAGGAACAGAGAAAGTTTGTGGTTCCCGGAAAATCCTGACAATAATTTGCAGTTCATGAACTTCCTTAGTCAGAAGAGGTCTTGCTGTGTTTAGTTTCCCACAGCAGTCTTTTCTTCCTGAAAGTGTCCACCTATGTTTGAATCAAAAAAGGTTTTAAAGAAAACAACCTCACAAGGCGATCCAACACCTCGGCTATATATTTAGTTAGCTTTGCACCTACCATTTGTGCAATGTGTCCTGAATCTTTCTCTGTAAAACTCCAGTCATTCTGTCTTCACCTTTTCCTTACTGCTACAGGTGACATCCATCTCATATTCCTATAGCCACATGTAATTAGGCCTGCAGCTTAAAATAAGAATCAGAATTTCCACCACAGTCAATGGAGGCATGGATGAAACTCCAAAGAATAATTTGCCCTATCTGGGGTAGACACCTCTCTCACAAAAGGGTGAATCACTGGTCTGACTTGTTTGGTTAGTGCTAGAGACAACCTAAGCAGCCTGCAGAGGCAGAACAGCAGCAAATAATAGTAGGAACAAATACAAGCCACTCTTTAAAACAAAGTTGTTCTCCAAATTGTTAAATAGGCCATTAATGAATGCAATGAACACACTACAAAAGTTGAAGCTAAAGCTTGTTTTTGTTCAGCTGAACTCTCCAATTTACAGCCTGTGGCTAAATTAGAAGCCTTTTCTGATGACTTGTTTCATTTAGTGTGGTGACTGCTACCTGAACTAAGTAAACCAAAGGGATTAAAATGGGATGCCTTTGGCTGTCAGGATGCTGATAGGAGCATGGAGAGAGAGAAGTATTTGAAATCCCATGGTACTACCTCATGCTTATCATCCTAAAGAGGGCTGCCTTGGAGAGCAGGAATATTTAGAATATTCCCTGAGGTGCCTGTACAACATCAATCTTTTCAAGATATCAATAGATTGTTCCTGTGTTATTATTTCCAGTCATATCCAGTCTTGGAGGGGACCTCTCACAGAGCAGAAGGCTGGTGTTGAGCGTCTCATTCTCCTCAGCACAGAGCACAGACGCTCCCCATCCCACCAAGGTGTGCTCACCAAGGCACAGGCTGAAAATGTCTGAGCTGCAGAGTGCAAGGCTGAGGCGCAGGGGAGAAAGCCTATGGTGGGAAGATATGACAAGTGAAACCATCTGTTTTTGAGATGCAAATGGACCTGAGCAGTCCAAGGTGTCACGGGGCTTGGCAGACATTACAGAGACTGGTCTGTGATCATTTGTCACTGCACTGCAGAGTGAAACAAACTTAAAAGCTCCAAGGAGGTGCAGTTTGTTTAAATAATAGCAAGTAATTAGTCTGAAGACAAAATCAGTGATGGCATTTTATAATTACAATTAATTTAAAGGTTAATTTCCTTTGGTGCTAAAATCTTATTTAAAACATTTACCAGGAAAGGAAATTAGGATATTACTATCTAGATGCATAGAATGCTTCTGGGAATCCATGCTTATTATCACTAGAAAATTAGGTTAGACTCAAAGTGGGAATTTCAATTCATTTTAGTGTGTAATAGATGGTGGTCAGGGCCTTGAGTCAGAAGGGTTGCTTAGGGTAGACTGTATGATTTGCATTTTCTTTGTTTGTGGGATTAATTGCAAATGTTTCTGACAAAAGGGCTGGGTTTATACATGAACAAGTTTGACATGAAAAGAAAATTGGTTATGGATTGCTGCCTTCGTAACTAATGAAGTTGATGTTCAAAGAATCCCTAGGAGACAGGATTGTGGTATGAGACAAATATATAAATAAAATCATATAAGGGAAAATGGTGATGTTGCTGGCTTCATCTATGATAATTTCCCTTCTCCCTCACTTGTCTTCCCTGCCACTCCCCTTGTATCCATCGCTGCCTCCTGTGGGGACTGTCAACTTCAAGTTTAAAAATTATCTAAATAATATAATGTAAACTTGAAGGAAGTAACATTTCCATTCCATCAACCGATCACAATGGGATAGTGCTTAATAATAATCAATGCATTGAAACAGCCAAGGAGATATACCTACCTTACACAATTTTTTTTAATTCTTCACCACAAAATTTTGATCTTTTCAAGAATGACATTTCAGAAATGTTGGAAAAGATCTGCACATGTCAAAAGGGAATGAACAGTTCATATCTCTTTTTTTTTTTCAAAGAAAGATTCGTGTAATACCAAACCAGTTTGAAAATATTACTCATCATGAATTATTAGTTTCAGGAGAGGAACACAAAGGCATTCAGACCATGAAACAATGTCACACACAGCTGTGTCAAGCTGGTAGCAGAAATGAGGTAGTATCTAGTGATGGTTCTGACAATAGAAGCTACAGATCATTTGAAGAGATGTTCAGGTGGTTGTTGTAGCAGAACAGGGAATCTTCCTGGCCATGGAAATATTTTGACATTGAAAAATAAATAAAGCTCATATTCAAAATCAGGAAAAAATAGCAAAATCTGAAACTCTTCACAAGTTGAAAATTGCGCAGAAAATGTTTTCAGGCGTGTTTTGTTTTGATGCTGGTGGCAGACTCCATTTCGACATCAGTCATTGCCTGCTACTTTGCAGTGAACGTGCAGGGCAGGCTTTGAAGGCAGGCCCCTCAACAGGGAGCGTCTCCTTCTGCGCTCGGTCAGAGCTCTGGAGGGGCAGGCAGCTTGGACCTCACAGAAATCAGGCAGGTGGCCATGTGGAGCTGCAAGCCCCCTTCCCCACCCTGGTGTCCCACCCTCCGAGGGCAGCTGGCTGCGTTCTTAGGGTTTCAGCCCAAATTAGCGGATGGAGCATGGCAGGTCCTGGCCATCCGGGCTCACTACAGACTGACAGATAACGGAGTCTGAGACGGGAGTGGTTATGAGCTGCTGTGAGTGGATCAGACTCATTAGGATTTCCAGTGGCCCTGAGAAGGATACCTGCCCACAGCCTTAGTGTTCTTCCCTCTGAGGCAGTCAACACGAGCTCCTCGCAGTTTCCTACATGACATGAACTTTAATTCGTACTGAATTATTTTTATCAGCATGGCTCCTGTTAAAGTTTTCCTTATTACTTTTCCTTTCAAATGTCTAGATAAGTCTTCATTAGCATTGGATTGCTAACTTTCATAGATTTGGGCCTTATTTCTCCACTTTGTTGCACCTACTAATGACTCTTTTTCTAATTTATGAGTGTGGCAGTCACACTTGGAGGCCACTGCCCCAGGCATTTTCTTTTTCCTCCTTTTTTCCTTTTTCTTCTCTTTATTGCTTGCCCTTAGCAGTGATTTGGCTAAGAACAATTTTTCGTAATGACTCATCTGATAACTTCTATAATAATTCAGTCTACCCCGCATTTTCTTTAATTTTCAGAATGATTGTCACTCAAAAGCTATATTGCAGGGCTATATTTTTTTGCTCAGCACTCAAGCATGAAAATTTGAAAGCAAATGGCTATTATCAGCAATGTCCAGGTCTGTCCAGTTCAGAAAAATAATATATTGCTCAGACTAATATTGTTCTTTTAGCTGAGTGGAGGTCTTTTAAAAGCTCTTTACTGAGCATCAGACAAGCCCTGCTGCAAGTCTGGACAAGCCTTGCAAAGCCTTGCAGGGGTCAAGCAGCAACCCTGTTTCCAGGTGTACAGGCTTGACAGGTGGCTTGCTGTATTTCTCAGCTATAAAATGCAGTGCTGACCGTTTCAGTCTTGTATTTCTCATTGCTGCAGCTATGCTCCAGCCATTTCCTCCTGGCCTCTGCTTCTTATTCCTGCTTGCCTTGTCCGTGGTCCTGTTTCTGCCTTCAGCTACTGCAGACTCCATGCCTCCCAGCCCTTGCTTGGGTACTCCTGGCTACTTTCATCTCATCTTAGTTCTGCTAAGCCATGAGCAGCCTTGGTTCCAACCTCTTCAACATGGTTCCTGCTGTTGGGCAGCCCTGCCTTGCCAAGTCATTGCTCCAGAGCATATCATGCCCCCGACCAGACCCCTTCTCCACCTGGGAACTTGACTCGTTCTAATTTTTGACTAGTCTAATTTCTGGAACCTCAGCACCATTCATCTTACTATTTTCTGCTGAGTACAACCATGAGCTGGGCTCACCTTGAATGCAATATCTGCATCCCTGCTTGGTCCTAATTATAGGGAGTAACAAGCAGAGATCCCTGTCAGTACCTCTATAAGGGCAGTAACACCAGGTCATGCTCATCAGGTTTCACAAACCTGCATAATTCCCCAGTCTCATGTCTTGTCTCAGAAGGACCGATCAAAGAATTAGCCGGGGGGACCAGCAGAAAAAGAGACAGAAGAAGATGATGCAGGGTCTTATCCAACAAGAAACATGATAAGAGGAGAAGAAGCTGAAGGAAAAGCCCTTGTGAAGCGAAAAATTACAGAATAATTTTGATTATTACTTAAGTAAACGTCATGAAAATAGGGGCAGGGGGGCAGGATCTGACCTGAGAAACTGCATCAAAATTTGTGTAGGGGTTTCCCTTTGCTGCTTCTACGGCCATTGTAGAGCTCAGAAATGCCATGATGTGACAGTTTAAAAATCTGAGGTTTTATTATTCACCTTGCAAATTGATTAGCTAAGAGCACTTACAGGCCCTACATTACTGGCTGTTTGGCAAAAATGCTGTTCATTGCACTGCAAGAACTGGACCTTGTGTCCAAGTCCTTACACTGTTTCTGAATCCTCCTGTGACAGCAGGAAGGGCACAACCCCATGTTCTGGCATATGCCTCCTTCCCCATGCTGCCCCAATGTTTGGCTTTATGCTCTTTTGAGAGCCTAAATCACTGTGTACTCAGCACAAAGACCAATAATATTTGATTATCATTGTAAACAAACTTTATGGAGATTGCATTCAAGCAAACCTCCTCCTGTGTGCTATATTGTGGAACAGCCACCAGGCCATGCTCACAGCATAAAAAGGCAGCAGCACTAAATCGTTTGGAAATGTCTTCACCAAATAGAGAGGTAGGTAGCAGGATACTGGCAAAAGTGCAAGAACAAGGGTGTCCCCATATGTTCTTTTATATTTTGTCCCCATATGTCATTTCCAAACTTATTAAAACCAAACCTAATTTACTTCCCTCCATTTTTATTTTTTTTTCACTCGATGTGGCCAGTTTTTAGCTACTAGTTTTTAGTATTTGTGCACAGCTCTGTCTTGCCTCACATACTGACTTCTGCACCAACAGTGCCTCCAGTGGTGTTATAAGCTGTAATTTGACATCTCTCCTTCCTCCCAGCTACACCTGCAGTGGAGTGCCTTGCTGTGGTGTTGAAGCTTAATCACAGCACTTCCGAAGCCTGAGTGCAGGGAGCCAAATCTTTGGCCTCTGGAGCCAGTGTATATAAATTTAAGACCTTGTATGTCAGATGCAGTGCATGTACACTACATATTCTCTCACTGCTATACCACGTGGGAAATACATCCAATCATGACATGCATGTGCAATAAGCATCCATGTGAACATGCACGTACATGTGCAAGTTTTGAGCTGGCTTCCCGCCAAGTCCCCGAAACTCAACAACAAGGACCTGCTTCCCAGAGAGGGAAGAGAAAAAAACGACTTAAGCAGCCAAAGCTATAGCAAAAATACATATATATATATATTTTACATATGAGACAGATATATACAATGAGAATACTATACACTACAACTCCAGAAATCCCAAACAGTTCCCCAAAAAGGGAAGAGGGGGAGGGAGAAGGGAGAAGGACAAAAAGGGGCAAAGACCGAACAAGTCAACCAGCCAACTGAAGGTAAATTAGCAAAATCTCACCACTTCCCTTTGAACAAGCAGGATGGCTCAACACAGCCCAGCACTCTCCCCCCGCGCGTGGCAGATAACAGCAGTCACTGTAGGCCTCAGCTCCAGATAAGCCAGACCGAGACTGGGACCCACCGTTCTCCAACCTCGCCGGAAAGGAAGAGAGTGAGGTCCCTCCTGCTGGTTTTATTTATACCTCAGGTTACGTAAAGGAATAGCATGGAATACTTCCGTGATCACTTTCCTAGTTCCTTCCTGTTTACAAACTGGTCTCCAGGAAGGCCTAGAGTGAAACCATCACAGTACACTTCCCTGGTCATTAGTTCTTTTTAAATGGTATCATCTCTAGCATGGGTAATTGTAATTTTTTTTTATATTACTTTAGTGCTTTAGATTCATGAATATATTTAAGGACTACCATAATGTCAAGCATTTTATATGTGTGAATGCCAGTCCTGTTTCTTGGAGCTTGCAATCTGTGTATTAGACAACAGACAACTGAAGGGCGCAGGCAGAAATTGGGCACAAAGAAACTAGGAGCAAATATTACTCACTGAAGTAGACAGGAGTATAAGGGTATTGGCAACCTAATTATTCCCAACAGAGCAAAGAACAGTTTTAGGAAAAATAATGAGAGAATTGTTTATGAAGACACTCTAACAAGGAAAGACAGTGTTTGAAAATTCTACAAGTATGGAGGTCAAGCTGGTGGCACGGGGGCAGAATTTAGCTTTTAGACCTGGAAGGAGGAGAGATTGATGTTGAGTATCTACAAAACGCTTTAAATGTAAAAAGATTTAGTTTATACTTGATGTAATATAGAAAGTTAAATCAGTAGAAGGATGCAGAGAAGAGTAACATAGGCAAAGAGCTGATCCCTGAAGCTTAACTCTATATTTGGTGAGTTGAAAAATAAAATGGGAACAATTGTGGTGTTTGACACTGGGAGCCCTGGTTAAATGTTATAGCTCTGTCAACAGTTAGAGTCTTCTTCTTCAATATGCAAAAATAATCTCCAAAAATTAAATCATGCACAGCCCACACCAAAGTTGACATCAAACTTATATCCTTAAGTGATAGGCAGACTTGAGGACACGAGTTCACTATGAGGGGCAGCAGAGAAGGTTAGGGAGGAGCAACTGAGAATTCTGATGTTAGCCATGCAGAACTGGAACTGAAGGTTAATTATCCACGGGTAAATATCACAGAGACAAGCTGAGATTTAAGTTTGTATAGGAGGAGCAGAATGAGCACAAGCCAGGTAATCCGTGACACCTCAGAGAGCCAACGACAGCAGAATTTGTGTTTGTGAGTGCAATTACCCAGTTTACAGGAGGTGGAGAAAAATAAAAGGCAGAGATTACTGGTCATTGGACTCCAGCAGCATGCTGGAGGGAGAAGCATCAAGAAAAGAGAAGAATGATGAGAGGAGGATGGTGAGCACCTGCAGGGGAGGCAGAAGAGGCCAGCATGGCAAACAGTTCAGGAAAAAGAAAGCAGTAAATGCATGCAAGTTGTCTGGATGACCAGAGAGAGGACTGTGTTTGCCTAAATTTGAACAGAAAGAGGTGATCTGACTGAAGTTCCAGCTGTGTGCAAAGGACAGAATACAAGATGGGAGTAAAACTTTAAAAGAAGTGGAGAAAAGTAGCTCCAAAACCGGCTTGAAATCATCTGGGGTGGAGTGTGGGAGAAAAACTTGGACAAACACGGATAAGGGTGGAGTTGATTTTTTACTTGAGGAATTTACATGTATTTGTATTAGGGAAGAAATGTAAAAAAAAAAGGATCACGAGAAAAAGTCTGTTTTACAGAACAAAATTCTTGTAACTGTAGTAAGAGAGAAGGGGAAATTAATAATAAAACAAGTGAAAAAGGTTGGTAACCTGAAGAAAAGAGTACTACTTTATCAGTTTGTTAGTACAAAAAATGGAAGAGTTGATGTGCAGAGAAATGACTGGAGATGGGACGAGGGATGTGGATGAGGAAATGGTGGGGATCTCTAGGCTAGAACTTACAGAGCTGGAGGAGACAAACTACTTCATCAAGGAGATGGACAAAGTGAAGCAAAAGAGAGGAATCAGTGAGAGAAGTCACCCTTAATACAGAATTGCTACCAAAGACATTTTCACTTTTAAAGGAGGAGCCACAGGCAGGAAACTGATGTGGTAGTGAAGGCAGGCTTGAGTGCTGACGGTAGATTCACCATGGTGAGAGGCAGGCCCTTGTGCATCAAGGGTAGGTATGAGATAATCAGCAAAACAAACAACCACAGCAAAGGAACAAAGCTAGAAGAGTATTTTAAAGCAGTCAAGAAATCATCCATACTGCAGGTCACAAGTTGGCCAAGTTGGCTGTTTCCCAACCTTTCCTTTTCCTTTTATTTGCAGATAAAGCCATTCATCCCTGTCCCCATTCCTAAACTCTACATTTTTTCCTATCTAGTCTGTGCTGCTTTTTGCATGCCTACTAAAATGCAAGGAAAGTCATAGTCAGTCACATTTCTATACAAGTATGCCCTAAAGGATTCTTTGGGTGAGATCCTAGGCTAATGTAAATTACCATTGCTTCATAGAAGTCACTGAAGTTATCAACATATATATTAGCTGAGGACCTGAATCTTTGTGCTTCTGTATTTATATCTTACAGAGAAAAATTTCTGTAAGTAGAATAGTGTCTAATCATCTGGTTTCTTTTAAGTATCTTTCCTTTTGCTTTCTACAGAAAGATATTGCTTTTATTCCATACTCAGTTCTTTCTCTTTGTCCATCTGTTGATTTCAACAGCTCTAATTTTTCTCACTGCAAACTTTCTAAAAACAACCTTAATCTATATCACATTCATGCTAATGGGGTCTTTTCTGTGCATCCCATTTTAATGGTCCCTCTATATACCGTAGACTTCCAGAAATGAAAAATGAGAAACCCATTTATGCCTCTCATCCTGTCCTGATATATACACCAGAAACAGTGAGGACTGTGACCACGAGCAGAGGCTGAAACTTCACATCCCTGTGGATGCTTATTAATAGAAAATATGTCCCTATTTTGAGCCATATGTTCTGTTACACTTTTAACAACAGTCATATGTCTGACAAGCTACTTAGCATCAGCAAAAGAAGAAAATATTCTGAATTTTTTATAATACATTTTACAGATAAATAGTACTGCTATTATCCTATAAGTCCAGATAGGAAAATAAACATCTCAGCACCCAATATTTCAAAGGTGTATTGGTTTTGCATGGCCAGGTTTTGGATGGGCAGCAGGGGTGGCTTCTGTGAAGTGCTGCTAAAACTTCTCCTGCATCTGACAAAGCTGATGCCAGATGGCTCCTAGTTGACCCGTTGCTGGCCAAGGCTGAGCCCATCAGCAACAGTGGTAGCACCTCTGGGGGTAACAGATTTAAGAAGGGGGAAAGTTACTGTGCAACTGCAGCTATGAGAGAGGAGTGAAGACTCTGAAGACCCCACAGTCAGTGAAGAAGGAGGAGGAAGAGTTGCTCCAGGCACCAGAGCAGAGATTCCTCTGCAGCCTATGGTGAAGAACATGGTGAGACAGGCTGTCCCCCTGCAGCCCATAGAGAACCCCATGCCAGAGCAGGCGGGTGTGCCCTGAATGAGACTGTGACCTCTTGGGAAACCCACACTGGAGCAGGTTCCCGACAGGACCTGTGGACCTGTGGAGGGAGGAGCCCATGCTAGAGCAGGTTTGCTGGCAGGACTTGTGACACCACAGGGGACCCACGCTGGAGCAGCCTGTTCCTGAAGGGTTACACTGCATGGAAGGGACCCATTGGGGCAGTTCATGAAGAACTGCAGCCCACGGAAAGGGCTCACATTAGAGAGGTTGGTGAAGGACTGTCTCCCATGGGAAGAATCCCATCCTGGAGTAGTGAAAGAGTGTGAGGAAGAAAGAGCAGCAGAGACGACATGTGATGAACTGACCCTAACCCCTGTTCCTCATTCCCTTGTATTGCTCAGTTGGAGGAGGCAGAGAATCAGGAGTGAAGTTAAGCCTGGGAATCAGGGAGAGGTGAGGGAAGGTATTTTGTTATTTGATGCTATTTCTTGTTATCCTGCTTTTCTTTGTTAATAATTTGAGTCTGTTTTTCCTGTGATGATAATTGGTGGAGTGATCTTTCCCTGTCCTTATTTTGACCCATGAGCCTTTTGTTGTATTTTCTCTTCCCTTGTCCACTAGAGGGGGAGAGCGATAGAGAAGCTTTGGTGGGCAACTGATGTTCATCTAGGGTCAACCCGCCACAAAAGGAATAGAGTCCTGTTTGCTTGCATATTCACATGTGCTTTTACTAAAGAAAAACATGACCTAAAAGCCACTTGTGATAACAGTGACATTTAAGATGAATATAAAATAGAGTAGTCAAAAATGTGTTTGATGCATGAGGTTAAGGATGGAAGCCTCTGTACTGATTCAGCTAATGAGCCTTATTTTATTCATCTAATGTTACTGCTGCCAGGGATGTATCAGTTCTATGACACTTTTAGTGACCTTTCAGGCACAGCCAGGATAAAATGCCTGCAGAAAGGGCAACCTTCTGCATGCTTTAAGAAACTAGTTTAGAGTCCACAGGGAGCTTTTAGCACAGTCTGGACACCACAGGATTTGCCACCATGAAGAAAGCTTGCTACAAAGAAATTAATGAAATCCTTTTGTGTTGGAGTTCACTTTCTATTACTTCCCTTTACCTACCTTGCAAAGTTTGTTGTTGCATGTAAGAAGCCATTGTATGCCTACAATGAGGTCACAGTAGTACTCTCTGCCCCACTATCATTTGGTTACACACATGGGAACTTTCATAGTGAGTTGAATACAGAAATATCTCTACGAGCTTGCCTTCTTTGTCGCTTGACAATCTGGCTTGTTAACACTCCATGCAACAATTACTCTGTGCAACAGGGCAAAGCCATAATGCATGAAGAGATATTTGGCATGCATCTTTCTGTTGTGCCCACACAAACTCATTTTGCTCAAAGAAATCTTTTTCTTAACACATTGGTTTAGCTTTCTGGAAACAACCCTAAAGTCACCCTCAAGACCTTTTTTACTCCACAACTGCAAAAGAGAGTGTCTATACCTGCAGCCTGCTAATAATGGTTTACCAGTTGCTTGAAGGGTCTAGGAAAGTACAGAAGAAATAGAAGCCTGGACTAATGTTATAAGTAACCTCTGTAAAGTGACATGGGTTGACAACAGTGAGACACTCAATCTAACACAGGTATTTTCTGACTTGTGATCACATGGATCAAGGGCAACCAAAAAAAAAAGAAAATGAGGTGAGCAAGCATCAAACCATATGCAACAAAGATATGTTCATTTTTTTTTCTACAATCTTTGTATTTGAACAGAGGGGTTTTTTCCTCCCAGCCTAGCATTTCACTTAACAATTTTCTTCATTCTGTGCCTATAAACTTAGTATGCTTCCAAAGACATGATCACATTTTGATAAAGATATCCTGATGGTTATAGACAGTGAATAAGCAGAAAGCAACAAATGACATTTATCTTGATTTTAGCAAGATTTTGATGCTATAGAAGATTTTTAAGAAGGACAGGGAAGTACTGCTCAGATGCAACCATCATAGGTTGCATGCAGAATTGTTTAAAGCTCTATTTGAAATGTAGTTATAAACCAGATGGGATGACATTTCAGATGGGATCCCACTGGGACTTCAGCTAAGGAAATAATTCTCTTCATTATTTTTGTTAACAACAAGGAGGATAGAGGCAAGAACATTTGTAAAATTTCAGATTAAAACAGACTGGAGTTCTAGTGAAGATAGGCTTAGAAGTCAAAATGATCTTGAGAAATGACTTGAAATCAAGAAGATGAAATTCAGTACAGATAAGTGCAAAAGAACTCCTGTGGAGAAGAATCAATCATCTTCAAATAAAACATGGACTACTTGGCTAGACCTACAGTTCGTATCATAACAAAAAAATAAAAACATAAAAATAAAGATCTGATTGTTAAGTGTTTGTACGTTGCTGTTGAAAAAAGAAATTAGGGAAAAAACCCAAACCAAACAACACCACAACAAAAAAATCACAAGGTAAAAAGGAAACAAACTAAACAAACCAAACAAACCAAAACTGAGTTATTCCAGGTAATGTATAGAAACTACGGGCAGTTGCCCAGTTAGTCCTGATTTGTTCACTCTACTGTAAGAAAAGCCTAAGTAGACTGAGGAAGGATCTTCGGGCTTTGAAATTTAAAGGCTTGGAAAACATGAGCTGTGAGAAATATTTGAAAGAACTAGGTTTGCTTAAACCTGGAAACAATAGATAGCATGAAATACCTTTTGAAAATGCTTAAAAGCAGTTGTAAGAGAAAAAAAGAAAAAGAGAAGCTCATTTTCCTTCATATCTATAGGGAGAAAAGGCCAAAATGCAGAAAAGTAGTTAATTTTCAGGAAATTACATTTAAATTAGATATTAGAAGTTAGGCACAGGAAAAAGCAACACAGAGAGACTATAGTACCTCCTTCATTAGTGATACCAGGAATTAATTTAGTAACACGTCATTCTGGGATACGAGTATGCATAATGCTGCCACAGTGAACAGAGTCAGACAAATTATTTCTGCAGGGGCCGTTCTTGCCACTGAAGAATGACTTGATGACAGGTTGAACAAGTGTGTGGTTGCAATGTACTGTACCCATCCAGTCTAGTGTTTTGATAGCTCTTTACTTGCAAAATAAATGGAGGACAGAGGTGTACAAGAATTTGATATTTTTGTACCGTGTCTAGGATGCATATGACTGCTTTGATAAGTGTGGCTAAGTGTGAGACACATTGAGGGGTACCTTAGTATAAAATAACCTTATAAATGCAAGTTTTAAGTATTCCAACCACTGTGGAGGTTCTCAAACCAAGGGTAGTAATTTTATTTTTTTTTTGTGATTGTTACTGCATTTTAGATCCACAAGAAGCTGTCCTCCATCAAAGAACCTTTTCTTTTTTTTCTGCTTTTAATGTACACAGATCCAGTCTGTCAGTAGCAGTGTCCAAGACATGTGAAAAATGCATTTCCATAGCTTTAGCCCTTTTCTATCAAAGTAAAGTCAAATTCGCATCGCTGACGTAAGAGATAATTTTTCAGAATTGAGAACTGCCCACGAAGAACCCCTAAAAGCCAATAGCTGAGTCTCCTGGGACAGAAAGGAAAAAAAGGGCACCATTTTACCTGTGCAAAAAAGTATTATAGCAGAGAAACAGGGGTCTCAAGCTTAGGTGAGCTTGAATTTCCCTGGAAATTGTTTAAAACAAGCATGCAAAGACCATCAGGAACTTGCAATGGTTTGAATTAATAAATAACTCCCACTCTGCAACCTTCTTGCAGACCTTCAGTGCCTTGAGAGAAATAGGTTTCCTTGCATCTGAGAAGTTTCATCTCTGAAGCTGAGATAAATTGTTCCAGCTCTCTGTTCATGCATTTCAATCCAAGTGTCAAAGCAAGGAATCAGAGAAACTTCTCTCTCTCAGACTGAGTTTGATCAATGTGTTCCCTTCTCTACATCAATGGTATGACAGGAAGCCAGACACAGTAATCACAGTCAGAATCAATGTATTCATGCCAATAAATAATGGTTTTCAGTATTTGTGGTGTCTGAATAGCATGTTCTTTTGTATTACAGTGAGGTGGTCTGCTTGAAAAAGAGGGATGTGTGGCTATTTCTGATGGCTGTTATAAATCTTATATTGTCTTTTTGTGGGTTTAAAAAGGAAAAACAGGGGACTTTGACTTTCTCTCCTCTTTTAGGCTTTTTCTGCATCGTCACAATTAGCTTGTCTAATTTTAACAGATTATTAGAGGACTCATCAAAAATAATGTATGTGCTGGGTGGTTCTTGAATGATAGGGCCTATCACTTCTGAAAAGATGTTGCTAATGCAAGCAATTTTCCCCCTTTCAGTTGACTTCATAGGTGGATTTGACTCTTACGGCTATCAAGGTCCACAGAAGACATCTCATTTACAACTACAGCCCATGTATATGTAAGTACTTAACTTCTAAGATATTCGGCAGAGTGGCAGGCTGATGTTAAAGGATCATTAAGCTGAAAGATGGCATGACTTAAAAATTCAGAACGCGCAGAAGCCTTTTTTTATGGACTGAATTCAAGCTACACTTAAGCACCAACATTGCTCTTCTGTTGAATTATAGTGATTTCTTGGGGCAGGATATCATATGTCACAGTTATTCAAATAACACCCAGCTCTCACCTGATTTTTCCCTTTTTTCATTCAAGCAGGTTCCACTCAGAAGCAATGAGAATTTAGTGTAAAAAAAAAAAAAAACTACTCAGATATGACAAACCTTGGTTGGAAAAAAAGTGGGTTTTTAATAAGATTTATCAAAAGTTCAGCAACTTGCTAATTTAGTGGATGCATTTAACATTTGTCTTACCAGAGCATCTGTTCACTGAGGCACTTCTGTACCTCCTTTCCAGTTTCCACATTTAAAAAAACCCAAAACAAATGTAACAACATATGAGTTTTAAAATCAGTTTGAATAGAAGACAGTATTTTACCTAACCAGTGAGTGACAACTCCATCCCAGAGTGCAGCCTGATATATTTGAGAAATCTCCTGATACTTTTGGATAATCAAATCTCCGCTCATACACACAACTGGGGTATATTCACACTAGAGCTAACACCCAACTACAGACTACTCCAGGAATAATCATCTCTAAATATTTTTTGTACTGATGCCAACTGCAACTCAGAACAGTCCTGACTGCTCAGATAAATCTTACCTCACTGCTGCAGCGTTTTGGAATATTTTTTATTTGCCATCAATAACCACACACTAAAAGCATAGCACTGAAGACTTCACAAAAGGGCAACATTTACTTTTTTTCCTTTGTTTCTCTTCTGAACATCTCTTTTGAGGAAAATAACTAAATTCAAGCAAACAGTAGGCGTTGCAACATACACTTCCATTCACCCTTGAATGCAATTTCGTTTCTTATGAGTAGTGGAAGCAAGTCTGTTAATTGATTAGTATATTTTTGCATGGAACTGGCATTTACTCCTTTATCATGGTACAAGCAGTCTGCAGTAGTGTTCAGGATTGGGCCCTTTGGGATCTTTACGAGCAACTTTTTAATAATCTCAAATTACAATAGGACATATCTCCAATGCCGTCTTAACTTCAACTTCCCATCTGTCTGTGTTCAAGTAAAGATTTTTCACCTGCACTTTTGGCACAGTGCTGTGCATTTAGAAAATGTTATTTCCTTCCTAGTATTATATGAAGCACATAGGTACTTAGAACAATTCTAATCCTATTTCTTTCTCAGTACACCATACCTTGTCATCAACATATGGAGCACTCTAGCTGAGATATTATCCTATTCTCTTTATGCTCTCAGTGTTTCTTCCAGAAGAACAGATTGCATTTACTGTGTATTTTCATACTGACTGGAAAGAAAGCTAGACCTGTGGAAAAAAAGAAGGCAATATTTTTAAGCTTGTAGCTGAAATGAAGAGATACATGATTAATCCATGCAAACTATGTTCCATCTTATTTCAATGCTGCATTCTCACTGGAGTATAGGTGATTTTACCATCTTCACAGAGAGACAGAAATCAGAATGTGAGCTGACATTTTGCGCAATCAACCCACAAAAGTATTGCCATATCCCAGCCGCACTCAATGACATTTGACGTTTCCCTCTGACTGTATAGTATTTGACAGGGTTCTCTAGAATTGCTACAATCTGTCCTAAAGAGGCTTTTACAGCATTTAGTAATACCTCTCTGTTTTCTACAGCTGAGGCACACCAGGAAAGCATGCATATGTATTCACACTGCAGTTGCTCTGTAAATATAGGCAGACCATATCCATACAGCAATATTCGTATAACTATTTCCACAACTTTATCAATTGCTAAAAAATGTCTTTTAATCTATAAGCAGCAGAAGATATATTAAGCATCCTCCCATCTAATTCCTGCAAAAGATCAAGAAAATAAAAATATAGCTTGTTGCCACCTCTTCATCCTTTACTATTCAGGCTCATACTGGGTGCAACTCATGTGGAGCTCTGGATTTATCAGAGAAATAGGAGACACTTGCCTTTAAATCATCTGATTACTAAGTATATCCAAAGGCACAATATCAATTCTTCTGTTTTCTGTGCTGTGGTAGTACCTATATGTGTGCTAGGCATGCTGCAAAAGGGAAGAAGATATGGCCTCAGCTTTGAAGAGCTCACCAAAACAATATCAGCTTCTAATGATGTACAGATTCTGTCAACATATAAATTTCAAAATGTAGTTCAGTAATATAGCACAGAGAAGCCCTTATATATTTACCAGATCAATTCATATACAGAACTAGTACAAATCTGAAAGACATACAGAATTGTGTAGTAGGTCTCAGTCATCATCCATGTACTGCTTGCTGATGTGAATTGATTTAGAGGATTGCACTGACAGAATTCCATCAACACAAACTTTTATTTCTATTCAAGTTAGACAGTTTTGCATCCAAATCAATTTTAACTGTCTTATACATGAACGATTTAATTATTATCCTGAAGGAATGCTGGGTTTAGTAATTGCTAACTATTAAGACACACAGTTTTGTAACCAGTTTCATCCTGTGTGCTGAAGTTAGCACTTCATTTTGTTAATTTGGAGGTTTTATTGAACCTACACAAACTCACTCGTGCAAATAATTATATTGATTTATTCAGGCTTCTTATGTTTACATTTCTATTGTGTCAGGACTTTTTTGTCCAAAGATTTATTATTCTTTTATTCGTGATATCTATCAAGCTCTACTTATACGAACATTCCAATTCAGTTTAAATGCACACAGTATATTTGTGTGGAATTTCATCAGTTATGCAAAACTACTCTGAATGAAAGGATTTTTACAGGAAAAAAAATCTTGATTTATGAAAAAGAAACATTATCTGTAGATAGTGAATTGAGGTGACTATCTCTGGCTACTATTTCCTTGAGTACTCTAGAAATATTAGCTTTGGGCTCACTTTGGGGTGTTTTCTCTATATTTTAGGCTTTTAGTTGCAATCACAATTCTCCTTATCATCTCTTCCAATTTCATATTTGTTTTAAATAAGTTTACTTTTTAAAGAGAAAAATATATTCAATTTAAAATTATGTTTTAAATAAAACACTGACTTTTTTTGGAGAATTCTTGTTGTGACATTTATCTACCTGTTATAAATCGGGTTTTTTTATTATTTAAGTGCCAACAGCGTGCTCTATGCTGTACAAGCCAAGAAGCCTAGACAGTCCCTTCAAAACGAATATGCTTTTTGAACAGAACGGGACAGAACCGATGCTCATGTACCTCCTTGCAGTGTGGCCACAGCTGATGTACTCAAAAGCAGCTTCCTGGCATTCTGTGCCGGAGATGCCAGTGCTCATTTCCAGACCATGGGAGAAGAACACAATAAGATGGCGGAAATCAGTTGACAAGAGAAAATTCTGCTCTTGGGAGGTGATCGAGGAAGGTGACTAAACACTCCCTGACACTGATTCTGCTGCACATGAAAAAACACAGTTGTAGTTGTGGAACAAGACTGCACTGCATGATCACTTTTCTTCTAAAAACAGTAGGAAGGAGGGAGGGGAGAGAGATCTTTCTTTATGTTCTTCACAGTAAACTTGTTTGCTCAAGAAAAGAAGAAGTGAAGCAAAAAAAAAAGCATGCGTGTCTGATGCTGATACCTAATGCACTGACAAAATTGCTCAAAAGTAGTGTAGCCCAAAAGTAAAGCTTGCTTTCCTCCCATTGTGAAGTCTAGGAATATTTGCAATATATATACTCACATGCACACACACACACACACACATACACACACACACACACACAAATAGGTATTTGTCTAGATAATTGCACATACCGAAGGTGCTGCCTACTTTACCATTCACTTAAAGCAGAAATGAAACACAAAAAAGACACTAAGACCGGCAGCTCACGTATAACCACCATGACACTCAGCAAGTTCATGCAGCAGAAATCTGCTGGGTAATGATGTCTTCATGTTTGTGGGATTCAGACTTCATGGACAACATTTCATTTAAATAAACTACCAGCTAAGCTTTGATTATGAACAAACAACATCTTGTCCATTTTAGACGGAAAGCTTTAGTCACAAAACATGGGTTTGGGACAACACTGTTAATGTGTACAGGGCTGTGGCACTTGCACATGCACCCTGCTTTGCGAGTGAGCCGAGGGTGGCTTTTCCCCACTCCTGCAATTCAGCCCTTCTGTCCTCATACTGTGTCACTTCTTGTTTTTACAGAGACAGCTACATATCTGATGGATTATATGTCAGGTCATCTTCCAGTTGACCCGTGGATGTATAGTCAAGATTATAATTAAATATAACTCCTATCTAGGATTGTTTAGAAAACCTGTGCTGACTTCTCTGACGATGTTCCAGAGAGAGCCAAGCAGCTCCCTGAGCAAATACTTTGTCTTTCTGTCCACTTCATCTTATGTGTAGCTGAACTGTTACTGGTTTGTTGCTTACACTTGCTTGCAAAGGGGCACCAGAACAGCAGGGCAGGGATCAGATAGGTATATGGTGGATTATAAGTATTGTTCTTTTTCTGTCTTTCTTCTAGGTCAAAGTAAACATGGGGAGTACCCAAGGTGGGCTGGAAGACCACTGTCAAAGAAACTGTTTCAGAATGGCCTCCTGATTCTTTAAAGAGAAAAAAATCCAATTTTTCTGCTAAAAGAAAAATATAAAACCTGGTTGAACAGTGAGACAGAAAACAAGAGACTTTCAGCCCCTCTTTCTAACAGGTACTAAAGGAGATGCCCCAGACCCCCACCTTGGACCTCCTGCCTCCCAGCACCAGAGGACAGAGCAGAGGCATTGGTGCCATCTTTTATCTCTTCCCTACCCCAGCCACCGCCAGCGTGACCCATCTGGATTAAGACATGAACTCGGTGCTTTTGGAGCCTCCTTCATACTTCTGGCCGCATCAAGTCTCCTTAGTCAACACGACACTGAAATACCAGGATGACCTTGCAGCAGAAGTCAATAGACAGCGCGTTGTTTGCCCTGAAGGCTGTACAGTTCATACTTGCCTTAACCCAACTGCATTGCACATTAGAGAAACTACGTGCAAGCTTTCTGAAGTTAACATGCTGCTGTTAATTCTGAACAATTTCTAAGTCAGTGGTTTTCTTCTGTTTGGTTTTGCTTTGTTTTCGTGTCAGGGAATAAGGCTCTGTTGCTCCATGGCTCCAGAGCGACCAAGTAGAAAACTGCCAGCTGTCTGATAAGTGCTTTACTTTTGAGACTCCACAGTGGTCAAGAAACAGTTTATAATGATTAAAAAGAAAAAGAAAGAAAGAAATAAGACCTTTGGGGGGTCAGGGTGAGGAAAGGGGTAACATAAACTAATAATTGAACCTACTGGAAATACGCAGCAGAAATAGTTCTTTAACCCACTGGTTTTATTTATCGCACTGTAGGTGCTTTTATAGCTATCTCTAAACGTCTTTTACTAACTACAGAGACATCTGCAGATTTCTATCAACAAAGGCCAACTGAATATGTACTAGCTACGTTTAGTCTTTTATATCTAATTTCAACTAAAAATTCTCTGTAAGTGAGCTTTTTTTTTTTCTAATTGCACCATAAGGGATCCATATATTTTATTTTTTGATTTCAGTTGAAGAGGGCGGGGAGGCACTAGTTGAGTTGAAGAAATATTGAAGACCTTTTTGGGGTATATTTGGGGGATCTGTTCTGTGTTAGAATGTGTATTTTATCTTCCTGTATTATTGTGGCTGAAAAAAAAAAACTGTGCTGTTACGTAGTTGGCAACAAGATGCCTTTGGGAATTTTGCTAGTAGGTCAATGTGTATATGAAATACTCTGAACTCCTAGGAACATATGTTTTATTCTACATCTGATCTGTATTTTCAAGAACATAGGTGGCTTTCACTAGGAAAACCCAATACTTTGCTCAGGTTTTTCAGAAACTTGGATTGTCATTGTTTCTTTGCTCAGACCTTGCATAGACAAACGCACGCACCTACCACACATGAAGTGACCACATAGGTTTTGAGGGCAAGAGGAAAGGTCAACACTTGGAAAAGCTTGAGGTACACCTGAGCAACTCCCTTTTCCTTGCTGGCCAAGCCCTTGCTCCAAAGGCCTGTGCGCTCACACCACTCACTCATCCCTGTACAAACCAGTGCCCTTTGCTGTGTCTGCATGGATGTACAGTGTCACAAGCAGCAACTCTGGACAATGACAGAGGGACAGTGAAAGCAAGATATGGGACATGTTCAGGAGCTATGCTTACATTGATTCAGTGAGATTTATATAGATAGATAGATATATATATGTAAGTGTGTGAATGTGTGTGTATGTCTATGTATATAAAATACACAGGAATAATTATTATTGGGGGCTGCATCAGCCAGGAAGATTCTGATGCAGTGGACCAAGGGCTCCTGTCTCAGATACTGCTGGGAATTTCCTGCATGAAACAGGCACGTACCCTAGGCCTGATCCTATAAAGCATTCACTGCTGATTTGGATCTCAAATTTAAATTTTCATACTTGGGGACCTGAAATTCTGAGTTCATTCTGGATAGAGCTGCTTTTCACCCCCTGGAAACCCCATGCAACTTCCGAGTGCCAGGATGAAATTTCCCATAACTTGAAAAATTCCAAAAGTTTCTACTTTTATGTAGTATTAAATATAGCAGATGTATAGAATTAAACATAACATAGAGGTTTAAATGGAATGAAAATGTCATAACAGGTTCTTTTATCTTTCCCTGTATACCAGTTAATCAAGATGATATTTCTATAAAAATCACTTTTTAACATGAAAAGAAACCAGTTTAGGCACCTAAGCAGCAATCGAATTTTCAGACGATAATTTTTCATACCTCTCAGTGATTTCCCATGGAACAGCAGCTACTGCTAGTTAGCAATTTTAGAAGTCAGACAATTTAATGAAGTGTCTACATGTAGTTTATAGGCCTAATTTTAATTTAGAAAGTTTTGGCCTTAGTTTCTCTGTGTCTTAGTCTTCCCATCTATAATACGGGAATAATATGTGCCTCACAGGCTTTTTGTGAGGTCTGAATTGTTAATGTTTGTAAAATGCTTAGGAAATAGGAAGCACATCTAAACTACTACAGACTGCAATATAAATGTGTATTCATATATTACATATAGAGTAGATACACACACTCGCTTACACACAGTATACATATATATATACGCATACTTACCTATATGAAGTTGGTATTCATAACCCTGCTTAAATTGCAGTTAGAGCACCATCATTTAAAAAATTAGGACTGTTGACTACTCAACTAAATGATTAGTGGACAGATCTCTTCTGGAAACAGTTTAGAGCACAGTAATGTGAGAATATCTGGATGGCACTTTTGATTTGTACAGCTGTATCCTCCTCAAAATCCAGTAAAGAATGTTATTTTTCTAGGCTGGGCTTTTGTTATAAACTAAAATATTCAGAAGGCAAGAGATACAATCCAAATGTGTTTTTTTTTCTTTTCTTTTTTTTTGGCATTTGTTAATTCTGAATGTATTTTTAACAAAAGTGATTTTTTTGACTTACTAGTGTAATTTGCATTTTAAAAAAAATAAATGGAAAAAATATAGGTTTCCAAGCTATTCATGGCCCCCTGCTGCTATTCACAACTTACGGGAAACTTAGAATTACTGTTACCAGCTGAGCAACAATGCAGGATAAATAATCCTATTACATTTACATGATGACAATCCTGATCTGTGCAGTGCATGGATGTGACAGCACTGAATAGAAATTGCCAGGTCATGACACCATTTTAACACTGTCATATGTAGCAGGTATTTTCATTATCACTGACACTAAAAGGTTTCCTTTACAAGGTTGACTGCAACAGACTCTTCACTTAGGAAGCAGGGCTGGTTTTGTGCACTCATCAGGAATTTTAAGCCTATGATAGGTATACAGTGGCCAACAGTGTTAAGTATTACAAAAGTAATCCTTTTTAAGAAGGAGCTATGTAACATGGATATTTCCACTGCATTAATATTCTTTTATATGCCATTTATTGTCCCTACACTGAAATGAAGAAATATTGTGAAATGTTTATAGAGTTCACACATATATGCCTGAGGTCATTTAATAAAGGTGGAGCAGAACAGTATACATTTTGAGATAGTCGGTCATACTGTCTTAAGTCCTTAGAAAGAGAGTGTATTAATTAATGTCATTAGGATTTTTTAGGCCTTCATTATAGTGCAAGTGATACTTTTCAGTCAGGTAAGGAGAAAAGATTTGTGCTCCATTTGCTTAATTTAAGTTTGCAATACTGTACTGCTGCACAGAATTTTGGCAAAGCCTAGCACAGTATGTATTGATTCCTGGATGTCTCCAAATAAGAATGGCTATTAACTCAGTGTCTGAAGCTTTTGATCACTTGCACGCTTACCTTCTGTTTAAGCACATTGATAGTAGCCAGAGCAAAACTCCATACACCATGGACCCTTCCAGCCTGTAATATTTTCATTGCCAGTCCTCTGTTCTATTTTTAAATGCAAATGCTCAAAGGATGAGGATTTTTCCACAAAGATGGAAAGGCCCGTGAATAGTCTATGGGTAGGTATTGCTTGTCGACTGTCTACTGATGAGTAGCTGAGGTGAAATTGATGGACTTTTTTTCTAGCTAATCTGAATCTGGCTTCTTCCCAGCACTTGTGGATTGGTGACAGACACTAAAGGTAAACCAGGTTTTACTGAAGAACCAATGCATAGCAATACTGCAGGCAGTGCTCTGTCCACTTCTCCTTGGAGAAAGATGTAGGCAGTTGTTATGCTAATTGGTCTGCTCCAAACTATGTGCAATACTAAATGTAATTACCATGCATAAAAGAAAGTGCCCTTTAGACTGCAGTTACTCATTCATGTATAGAAGTGGTGCAGCACAGAATGAATCAGTAAAAGAGCTTTTCTTCCTGTAGTCACTAATATGCTTCATTCCCAGACATGGATTGGAAAAATCAGCTCTGTTTGATCTCGTGTTGTGAAAAGTTGCTCTGTTCAGATCTTCACCAAGAGAGGCAATTGCAGCTAGTTAGAGTTGTGACCTCTGCATAGCTGAGAAGAAAGATATTGTACCAAATGTGAAATTCTAAGTAGCATCATATATACATTTGTTGCACATCTCTCTCCATATGTACAAAAGAAGGGTCTTTTAAAATGAACTTTTCCTTTATCTCTCACAAATCAACTGAGACAGATAATGTCTTTCATAAGGGTCTTCCAAATTCTGCCAAGATCACTTCAGAGATTTTTTTTCTTCAGTCCAATAAAAGCACCATCTTTCCTGCTCTCTGTTGAGTAGAAGACTTAGCTCTTGGGACTTCCAAATGCCTTGGGATTATTATTTTGGATAGATAGGATCACTGTGAAACCTAAGAATTAAAAAAACTAATATTTGCGGTCATCTCTGATTCAAAATTAATTCTTCTGTACAAAAGCCATACTTTTGCATCCACCAGTGGAAAAGGGTCTTTGCTGCCACCTGTTACCTAATCACTTTCCTAGCTTTGCCATTGTCCTGCTGGGAAACAGGCTATGGGGAGCTAAATATGAAGCAGCATGTTCATATTCAGCATTTGCTCTTCAAGAGTCTCCAGTTCTGCCACACAGAGTGCTATTTCATACGTATTTAATTTATTTCTCCCTGTCACCATCTTCTTGTCCTATTATCACTCTCCCCATCTTCCTGAACACAATCCCAAATACTCTCCCAAAATTACATACTTCTGTTTGGAACATCCATTGTTTCCAACTGTTTACATAATGATGGTGATGACAGTCATGGAGGACAGTATCACTGTGGATATCTGCAAAATGACAAGATGAGGAAGCACAAAGGTCCCAGATGCAGGGAGACACTTAACAGAAGGGTAAAGGGTGGCAGCATTACAGAAGCTATGAGGTACAGTGAGTCCTGGTAGGAATCATTTTTACATGTGCAATTACATTTGCCAAAGCTATAGTTCATTGAGCACATAGACAGTCATAAATATCCAGAGCTACAAAAGGCACAGGTGAAACGGAAGAAAATTCTTAGGAAATGTGTTTGTCAACATGTTGACTGGATTAGATTCACATTTCAATCTCTTGAAATTTGTCTCAGGGTTGTTTTTTCCCTCTTGCGAACATTTGGATGGTTGGTTTCTGTGCACGCAGGTGAATGTTTGTTCCTAGGAGAGCATGTACGTATGTGCAATTGAATTCATTTACATGGGATTCTCAGTATCCATGCATCTATGTGCTTTTGCGTAAATGTTGGCTCAGTTCACTCTGTCACACATATTTACACACAAACATATCTGTCATGTGAGTGTATTTTATGGTGGGAATACAAAACCACCTACAGTTTCCCCCTCTTTCTACATAGCTTTTCCTATCCCTCCTCTCAAGAGATGCAAAGTCTCAAGTATTTATTTTTTAGATGGGCATTCAGTATACAAAAATTATAATTTCTGATAGTTACTGGATGTACAAGCATGGTGCAATCTATGAACACAGTAAATAAGACAGTCCTTTCTGCAAAGAGTTTATGTTTTAAATAAAGTAAGCAAATGAGAACATTTTAATTTATAAAAAAAAAAAGAAAAAGAAAAAAATATGATCTCAGTGTCTCACTCTGCTGTTAAATTTGTTAAATTTTAATTAATAAAAAAAGTGGGTGCCAAAAAATTTCAGAAAAAGAAGAGCAGGGAAATGAGAACTTGGAGTATGGTTATGAGGTGATATGATTAGTTTAAGCATGTACATATGAGACTTGGGTAAAAAAATAAGCCAATTATATCTTGCTAGATTATCCAATTAATTTATGATAGCTCCACATAGTTATGTATTATATTATAGCCTACATCTTAAAAGCATTTAAAACAGTAGCTTTGGAAGAAGAACAGCATCAAAGGGACTGCATATTGATGCAATCACAAAAGGTTGATGGATTGATTCAATTAATCAGTGAGTCATTTCTGAGAGTTCTGCAGGGATTTATTTACCAAATGCTTACATTGTTTATTTTGCTCTCTGGAGGGTTTGTGTACTATCATTTTTCTTCATTATTCTTCTTGTTTCATTCATCAATTTCTGACAAATGTTTTCATGCCGATATGGCATGTTAGGCATGTAAATTGTCCATATTTACTGATTTAAAGCAGTACACTCCAAACTTCAAGTAGCTGAGAACTTCTGTTTATTTCCCTCAGGTCCTGAGAAATACTAGCCATCTATAATTAGTATAAAGACACGTTTCCTATTTAATCTTTGCTTTCAATGTCTGCTCAACATGACAAGGATGTAAGGTCTTGTCTAGCATAACATGCAAGTACCTGCTTAAACTTTAGACACAAACTTACTATGAGAAAATATTTTGAGTGCTGTTAATACTAAATAGAATATCTGTTCCATGTTTGGTTTGTCCTTACATTTTGCAGTTCAAATCCAGGAAAACAATGCAAGAGGGTCAGCAGTTTCACTATCTTTTCCATAAGTTTAGATAACTTTTTTACAAGGGCATGTAGTGATAGGACAAGAGGGAATGGCTTTAAACTGAAAGAGGGCAGGTTTAGATTAGATATTAAGAATGAATTATTTCCTTTGAGGATGCTGAGACATTGGAACAGGTTGCCTAGAGAAGTGATGGATGCCCCATTCCTGGAAGTGTTAACGCCCAGATTGGATGGGGCTTTGAGCACCCTGGTCTAGTGGAAGGTGTCCCTGCCCATGGCAGGGAGGTTGGAACTAGAAGATCTTTAAGGTCTCTTCCAACCCAAAACATTCTATGATTCTATGATTTTCTATTTTAATATTGTCATAGTATGTGCTTCAAAGACAACACACAGAAATGGTCCAAATAGATCAAATTGGATTACAAAATAGTAGATATTGAGCACAACAAAGGTTTGTGAAGGATGAAGAACTGAAACCAAGAGGAAACCATTATTTGATAGAGTTGAGTCTCATTTGAACAAATATTTTTACTTTAAAATATCAGGAATACTGAACCTCTAAATAAAAATTTAAAAAATTATCATGTGTTATTGCATACATATATGCAATGTGGGTGTCATTTTCAGGCATCTTTGGCACTGGCAAAAATCTTACTTCACTTTTAGGTGAGTGGGAACAACTTGTCATGAAAAGTAAAAGATAAAAGATCACAGTCCTAGTGACAAGAGTCATGGCAGCCTGCATCATGTGACAGCCTTCCCCAGTGGATTTAGAAAACACCACCCTACCTATTAAACTGGAGGGTGTCAAAGGGATGGATGCAAAAATATGAAAGTACAACATTTAAAGACTGATGAAGATCTTAGCAGAATGAAATCATGGTACAACTCTGATTGCATACAAGAATGTTGTGATGCAAAGGTAGTGGTGGGAGACTGACAGAATGCAGGGTAAAATGTGAGAGAAAATTGTGTCAGCATGACTGAGGGGCTGAGCTGTATACCCCATACCCTGGGCTGACTGAAAGGAGTAACAGGCCCCGGACTTCATGAATGATGATGCTGTGCTGCTTCTTGTGACTACAAAGATGATCTGGCATCAAGAAAGGCAGCACATGTTCACATTTTGGGTGGTGGTAACACACAGGCAATGACTTCAGAGAGCCATATAAGATACAGCCAGCATTATTTTCCTCTATTCATTTTTCTCTGTTTATTGGGTTTGTTTTCTTCAGATATTTTTCCAATCTTGAAAATAGTTGCTAGAATTCTTGTTATTAGCTTTGTTTTTCTATCAACAATCACTATGCCCTTCTTTCTGTGAAATACAAAAATTACACACCCTAAAATAATATGAGCTATTGTCTTAGGTCCAACATTTTTAGTTCAGTCCCTTGGTCTGGATTATAACAGACAGATGGAGACAGATACTTCTTAATGATACCCAGTGACAGGACCAGAGACAATGGGCACACACTGAAACACAGGAGGTTCCCTCTGAATATCAGGAAAGACGTTCTTACTGTCAAAGTCACCAAGCACTGACACAGGTTGCCCAGAGAGGTCGTGGGTTCTCCATTCTTGGAGATAGTCAAACCTCAACTGGACGTGGTCCTGGGCAACCTGCAATAAGTGGTTGTTGAACTAAATAATCACCACATGCACTTTCCAGTCTCCAACCATTCTCTGATTCTGTTATTTGCTTCTTATTCAAGCTACAGTTTCTTGCCACTGGAAATATTTCGAGCATCTCAAGAGGATGCAAAAATCTTGTTTGTTGGGCTGAGGAAGTCTCAGAGTTAATCTTTGGAGTGAAAATAAGACTTTTATGTATTAAGATAGAAAAAAAACCTTTCGGAAAAAACATCTGTTTCTAAAATGTATTGGTTATTATTTTTCCCTTCTTTGAGTCCCATGTAGTTGGCTACCTGGGTAAAGTCCCAGCTCCAGTTAAAATCAGTGGGAATTTTGCTGTTTGTTTCAATAAGATTTCAAGATCTCAGACTTTGCAATTAAAATGCTTGAATATTTTCTTTACTTGAAAAACAAAAAATCACAACCATTATCCTCAATAATTTTTAAATACTCGACAAAAAATTTAGATTTTTTTTTTTATCCTATCATGCTCAACATTTGTGAAATGCATGGTCTGGTGATATAAAATTTTATCTGTACTCATTTATGTTGACCCACATGATTTGCTCATTGCCAAACGTGTGCCACTAAAATCTTTCTATCATTCCCACTCTTCTGTGTATTTCATTTCATGTGAATGAATATCACTCCAGGGGATTAGCACCCTAGGAGTTTCTCTGCAAAACATGAATATTAAGGAGAAATCAAAAGACATTTGCATAGCTATTTGGCCAATGTGACAGTAGGAATCTGCTACATGACCTCTTTTCCCTTTATGTATAAATGTTAAATATCAGTTGTAACCCAGAGTTCTCAGTGTAAGCAATTCACATCCTTCTAGCTTCTTGCACAATTTCACAGAGCTCTTCAGACTTGATAAGATTTCCATTGAGCAAACTAATTCAGCACCAGGGAAATTTTTGCACATAAACAGAAAGATAAAGCACAACCTCAAAAGACAGGTTAATAGTATCCAGAGCGTCTGGAAATCCAATACTTTTGCCAAAGGCATTACTCAGTCTGGAGTTTCTCCTGTGCAAAAATACTTCTTATTCATTAATTCACAGCCTGAAATGTAGTTCCAATAAAACTCTGTCCAAGTGAGACTCCCACTCTGACAGCATACACAACCTCATATTCTTCCCTGTAAAAGGAAATACATGACAAACTAGCATTGCTCCTTCAGTCCTGTCTCCTTGAGCTTGTACTTCTCACACCTGAACACTTGCGACTGCTGCCCCATGACAGTCTCAGTTCTCATGGGTGTGTGGAGTTATTAAACTGAACCACTGGTGAGTACCAGTGAAAATTAAATAGGGTCTCTTCATCCCTAGTGACAAAGCATCCAGTGTGTCAGTGGTGCTGTGCCACCTGAGCAGGGACAGGTCTAGGCACAAATGGAGAAGAGAAGTCTTTAAAGCAGGGGGAGCCAGGAAGGGCAGCAACATCTACATCCCTGCTCCCTGTGCCTGCCAGAGCCACCGACAACCCCGCACCGTGCTCTGGATCCATCACCAGCAGTACCCATAGGCGACCAGTGAGGTCACATCCTTCTGGCACCAGAAGGAAGAGAAAGTCTGGATCTGTAGAAATCACTTCCCAAGTCTCTATTTTAACTCAGATCATGACCTTCTTGTAGGAGAAGCAGTCAGACTCCTGTCTGGCTACAGTTTTTTACATTTGAGGCGGCAAAGCCCTGCCTTGCTTCACTTTGCACTTACTAAAGAGTAAGTTCAATCAGAGGAGACAGTTTTGGCAAGCAGGGACAACACTCCAAAACATTCGCATTAGGAAAGCTATAGCTCAGGTGCACTTCCAAAAAATAAACTTTAGGTGAAAAAAGATAAGTCATTGTTTGAACATTTTCAAGCCTCCTTTCTGGATGTGAAGACACCTTGAGTCATATGCATAATTATTTAGTGTTATTACTTTTATTAGTACTTATTGATGTAATTACTTGCTTTATTTATTATTTTGTAATTCCTCATATCAGTGGGGAACATTTTACATTTAGAAGTACATATTACATTTAGAAAAACCAAAGGAAATAGCAGGAAAAATTGACATAAAAGTGTTCTACAACACCAGAGTACTGTTGTGTTAACCATCAGGATTAATCTTAAAAGCTCATACTTACAGACCGCTTATACTGAAAAAAAAAGCTTCTCAGTCCTGGAAGTCATACAAATTATGGTCAGAAGATCTGTTTATCTCAGGTTGATAAATTATGTTTAACTGGGTTGACAGGTCACTGCCCCCGATCATCTCCCTGTCCTACCATCTTTTCTGTTTCTTGCGCTCTTAGGAGTCCCAAGCTTGTAAAACGGAAGTTCATCATTCAGTTTTTCCCCTGAATGATTCCTTTTCTGCACTTTACTTTTCATCTGTATTGCCCATAACAGAATCTTGAGAGAAAAACCAGGCAGATTCCTAAAAGGACCTGTAGACATGTATAACAACAGATTTCTAGACGGGCCTGCTGACATGTATAATGAGGACTTTCTGGGGAAGTATGGATGGTGAAGGGCCCCTCAGACTGGGCCTTCTCTGATTTTATGGGGCTATTTTCAGTTGTCAAGAACCAGACTCAGCAGCCCGAGCCATTCCTTTTGGCACCTTATTTCTGTGGTGTCTGTGAGGAGTGTTAACCTCAAATCAGACCCCCAGTTTCACTGAAGGCAGCAGATCTTAATTTCTTCTTGGGTATTTAGCTTCTTAGGCCTTTTTGAAAGGTCCACTAATGTTTATTTTCATTTTCAAATTCCTCTGAAAAGGAACAAAATGACTTTTGAAAATCAGTCATCAGACCGTGTGAAAAGATACACTTCGCTCATCAGGCTAAATAAATTCAGTCATTTGATTCACCCCTTGGGATTCAGCTCTCCACATGTATTACACTCTGCTAATTTCCCTGCGATTTTTCACAGCTTGTATGAAGAGAGAAATAGAAACTTCATCCAGATCTACTCTGATACTGTTTGAGTTCCTGATATGGATGCATGTCAGTAATATCAAAAATAGCTGATCTGCAACAGCCCACGCTATGTGACAGTTTGTACAATAATTTTTTACCCTCAAACTCCATCACTTCAGAATCCCTTCCTCTCCCATCTGTCCTAAACAAGTAGGAGAGGCTTTTTGCTAGAAAATGTATTTTTTTTAAGTACCTCTCTGGAGGAGAGCATAACAACTCTGCCTTAAGAAAAATGTTGTTAGCCCTTCCAGTGTGTCAGAATGGAAGCTGCTACTAATTATAACTAAGATCCTGTCAGTTATCTGAATTCACTGGCAATTCTCATAAGATCCTGAAGTGAGTAAACACATTAACATCAATGTGCCAGCAGCAAACCACCCTAATTCCCTTCCCGGCTCTCTAAAAACCTGCTGCAGGTTGCAACAGCCACAGCTTTGTGCTGCAGCCCATGGAACACCTGGGGCCACTGCAGGTGGCCTGATCCAGGATAGCAGCTGTCTCCAAACAGGCACATCCATAACAGGTGAGCAGTGCAATAGCTGATGATCTTCTTGACATATCTGGAGCATACTGCAAATTTGGACAAGAGTGAGGAGAATCTGTCATTCAGGCTCCTTTATCTGAGGAGCTAAAGAGGGAAAACCCCCCTAAGTAAAACAGGGCGTGCGTTAAAATGTGGCACCAGCCTCCCTGTGGTTTTGGGTATAGTGGGATATGCCATGCTCTTTTTTGAAACCAAAAAGACAGAATTTTTTCTGTTGAGACCCAAGGTACAGTTAATGTTTCCACAGAGCCAAGTCTTCCCCAGGGACCATTCCTTCAAGCTTGTGCACACAGGATGTGTGTGTAAACCAGAAAGGACTGCTTCTCGTGAAATAATAACTGTCTTCATTACCCAGGACCTCCTCATACCTCTCTGGAAGTGTGAATAGGCCTTCATGGGACTGAAGTAATAACAGGAGTGAGTGTAAAACACGCTCATCTGAAGGCTCCTGCACTGGCTAAAGGAACACAAAGGGTGCTTAGGGAAAACAAGAACCTGGTCCAATGCTCATCAGGAAGGGAGGTTAAGTACCCTTCTTCAAAGCTTTTTATTATTATTCATAAATAACAACAGGTGCACTAGCTGATTTCTTTTTTCCAAAATACACATATAGCAACGCCTATTTGGAGAGAGTCTGAGACATGGTATTTTTCAAGCCAAACATGACTGTGGAACCACACTCCTAGGTGACAGAGCACAGCAGGTCCCTTACCCTTGCTTGAATTTGATACAATTCACATTCCCACACAGACAGCAAGAGAATTAAAGGAGAGTGGGAAGAACAGCAAAGATTAACAGACGTTGAAGAATGCAGTATATTCAGTAAAAGCTTAATGAGATAATCCCATGGTAACCGTCAGGCTTTGGCTTTTGTGTGCAGCTATCTGCAGAAATGCTACCGGCACGTGTGTGGTTTGCTGCTGACACTTTTTGTTAAAGAGGGAAAAATCTGTTTGAGGGTCTGGATTATGTACAGGTTTGGCTAGGGGAATGGCATGTGCATGTTATGTGTATTCTGGTATCAAAAGAAGGGTTTCAAGGTATGTGGTAGTATGTACAGCAGCCATAGTATGGTATGGGCAGTTAAAATGGAAGACAGTGAATTTAAACCGCTTTTACGACAAAAGGATTATTTTTTTTTCTTACACAAAAAAGCTTTGACAACTTTTGTAGAATTGAAATTTAAATAAGTTAATTCAGAATCCTTCAACATTTTTTTACTGCATATACAGTATTTTATTTTTTCAAGTAGCAGGTGTCATCTACTATCAGGTACCAGGTCATTTAATAGCTGTCTGGGCTAAGAACCCAGAGTCTTTTCTCTATTTTTCTCACCTTGAACATCCGAACTTCACCTTAACTTCCATCCAGACTAGTATCAAGCTTTGGTCTTAACTGCTCCAAATAGAATGGAAATCAACAGTATTGCATAGGAACAAATTATCAAACCATGCAACGACAGGTTCAGAA